ACTTTCCTTCTCTGAAAAATTGGCTCTAGAATCTCGGAAGAAGGCTATTACGGATGTCTCAGATACAGAAACCGTCCAGGAGGAAGATGATGACGATGGGTTTATTCATCCGTTGGTGATATCTGCACCACCTCTGCTCCCTGGGAATTCGCAACCTGTACTCGCGCATGCCCCTACATCAAGTGATGTCAATGTGCGTCGTGAGCGTGCTAACCAGGAAAAAGCTCTGGCCCGGATTTTTGGTCTTGAGAAGGGACATGTGACAGCAGAAGACAAGAGACTGGAACAAGTCGCAGAAGAAGCGGTTCATAAGGCAGACAGGGATATTCAGTGTTCACTCAAATCGTCATCGGGACAGGATATCGATCGAATCTTTGTGGAAAACTTGTGCACAATGGTGCGCGGCATAGCCAACAGCAAAAGCGGTCACGCTAGCTCGTCGAAAAGCTCCAGGGCTCTTCGGAAAATTGAGAAGGCGGCTCTGATGTATCTCGAAAGCGATCAAACGGCGGATGATTTTCCGAAGGGCAAAATGAAGTCATCCTCCAGTCCTCAACATACCCACCTACTCACAACCTCAACCGAACCGACGGGAATTTTCGGTTCTGGTGCCCCTGTCCCCAAAACCCTTCTTGACGTTGAAGATATATCCTTACCTATGGCCGCGGATTATTCGGCTTTTCTAATCAATCCGCCGCCATCACAACTTCCAACGTCAAAGAAGTGCACCTACCCTTTTAACGGAAATCTTATCTACCCTCCGAGCGTTGGATTTGGTATGCAGGGACCTCCAGTTAAATATAAGTCCCTACAAAATGCGCATCCTGCAAAAGCGGACACTAGTGTGAAGTGTGCCGGCAATATATTCCACAACTCATCGTGCGCATCCGATACCAGCGATGCAGCCTCGAACAAACCCCCCCTTAAGAGCACCCAGTGTGAAATTTTTCAACATCCAGCATCTTTGTCGAATCCGGTAGACAAAAAACCGGATGATGAATTCCTGGACCTGATTGATATCGAACACCCGGATGAATTGAGTGAGGATGGTGAAGACCAAGTGTTCTTAGATCCAATGGAGACTTCTGCAGAAGGTCATGGTCAGGAATATCAATCTATAGATCCGCGTTCAGACGGTGAACCGAAAGTGCCCCAAAGTGACGAGCGCAATTCCGATCCAGAGGTGCATGCTGGACCATCGCGTAAAGGAAAGGAGCCTATCAGAGGTTTCGACACGACTTGCCTGACTGACACCCGAGTTTCTTCGGAGCAACTTGAAAGTCCAATGAATGATGATACCGATGGCGCCATTCATGAGTATATTCGGCTCCACCATGGAATTTCTCTGAAAAATTTATCCATCTACCTGATCCCAGTGAAGCCTTCAGTGCTATGTCGGGCTGTCAATATCTCTTCGCTGAAGCATATCTCCTTGATGAACGTAGGACCCCAACGTCCGTTTTGGGCTATGCTCTCTAAGCTGCACAAAACCACAGCGCTGCAAATAACATCGGTGCATACGGATAATGTCACGCAGAGTTTCCTGACGTTCTTGAATGGCCTGGACTACCTCGAAGAACTTATCATGGTGGAAAGAAGTAGCCGTTCCAAATTGGAGTCCTTTGCTCCCAAGACTGTAGTTGTCATTGATGACATTCGGCGTCAGGTCCTTGTAAAGCATATCAAACACCTAAAAACATTGATGATTCGAAACGACGATCTCGTACACTGGTGCTTGAATAGGGAGTCGGCCGTGCTGATCGGTAAACGTGGCGCGAAGCTGAGGGAGCTTGTTGTTGGCATGAACTCACCTAATTTTGTAAGCTCTCCTTCTCACATCTTATTTTTAATCTCCTAGGTCGTTTGCAATATACCTTGTTTCCACATGGTGATGTGATTGACGAGGATGAAGTCAATGCTTACTGTAACTAAACCCTACAGCACGTGTTCATGCAACATCTCAACGGTCTTCGGTCCCTTCATGCTCTCCACATTATTTTCTCCCACAGCGATTATTGTACCAGTGTACTCCGCGAAATTAGGCTATGTGCCACGGACAACGTGATCCAGCGCCCACATCTAAAAGTCAAATATGTTGCTGTCAGCTACAATGCCAATGGTCCCACCTCAACATCCATCGCCCGTTTGTATCGGCTTCCTCCCATGCCGTCAAAGATCGGTAAAAAGAACACATTTTCACAGAAGCACGACTTCGCTTCCACCTCCTGCTCATATATTGCCCCTGATAAAGGCAAAGGGAAAGCAGTGCAGCGCTCAGAATCACAGTTCTCAAATTTCATAACTCCCTGGACGGCCATGGAGAGTGATATGGAGTCTGATGATGACGACCGGAATCGGGTGACGGTAATTGAAGGGATAAAATTTCGCGAGGTCACTGACGTTAAAATTTGGCAGAAAGAAATATGGGATTTGAAGCTTTGATTTCACTGTCGATTATGGGACGGCATGTGGTAGATTCCGCTCAATGATCCATTTTCCATTCTTCTGCCTTCTGTGTTGTACCCATTTCCACCCCTGTCCCCGATATCTTCACCTCCACAACCCCTGGCTTACTGATCTTCGGATACCCCCACTTTGCCTTAATGTGATTTGATTTTCAAAGCTTTTGCTTGTTTTAATACTCCCTGATTGTCTTCCTGTTTATCTGTCCCGTATTGTTCTGGCCACCAGATTACCTGTCAGCCACCCCAGGACGTATTAAGCAGGGCCGGTTTCCAGAGACATAAAATATGAATGACCCGGGAAAAATTGATTTCTATGACAAAGAGCTCACGATACCCCCGATATGCTGGAATGGAATTAATTGATGGATGAGGGAAAACAGCTTTTTCCGGTGACGGACTTGCGCAATGGGCAGAACAATGTTCATTCAGTTAGATAAAGCTATGCGGTATTTTCCCGCATCATCACTTTAAACTACGAGTTCTGACGCTGCTATAGTTATTTAATATGATTGCTTTCAAGCCTTTTCATATAACCTGCCATCGATGCCACGAAAGTGTTTAGGGAGCCATCTTGCCCAGCCTGGACGTCTGCTTAACTAACTCCGTAGTAAACTAACTGATTAGTTAGCTGGAGAGATTCTGGTGTGTTGAGGTCAAAGCAGTAATTTATGATCGGCGTCACGTGTTGAGAAACAATGAGCCTAAACCAGAAGGACGAGAATTAACCCATCTAAAAACGACGGAACAGATATCATACCCTGAGTACGAAGTAAGATACTGTGTCTCTTCGCACGGATCCTTTTTCAACTTGACACTATCATCGGAGATATTGTTTTTTTTTTTTTTTTTTTGTTGGACCCGCAGAGATGGCGGGGAAAAAGGGCGGCGAAAACGCCAAAAAGGCTGCGGGTAATGCTCGAGTAAGACTCGATTGTTACCCCTTCAAATATGTATATGAGTTGGAAATATACTAACTGCGCATAACGAATAGAAAGCCGACGCAGCTGCTCAGAAACAAGCAGCTTTAGATGCCAAGAAAGCTGAGGAGGAAGATCGGGAGTGGTCAAAAGGATCAAAGTCGAATGCAAAGAAGTATGTAATGGAAACGCCGCCCGCCTACCCGTCCTCTCCTGCGGGTCCAGACAGTTCTCTCAAAAAGCTAATGCACCGCATTCTACAAAAATAGAGACCAAACGGAAGCAAAGAAAGCAGAAGCAGCCCGTAAAAAGGCAGAGCGTGAAGCCCTGCTCGCCGCCGAAGAAGCCTCCCTACCCTCCAAACCCAAAGGCGCTGGCGTCAAATCCGCCAAAAAGCACGCCGCACCCAGTCGCGGCACCCTCGACCTAGCCCAGTTCGATGACGAGAAAACGGCCAGCTATAAAAAGGCCGCTCCTGCAATCAACGCCACGGGTATCGACAATGCGCTTGATGCCCTATCGCTGACCACCAGCACGGCTGATGCGACCAAAATCGACCGCCACCCCGAGAGGAGATTCAAAGCTGCCTACGCAGCCTTTGAGGCACGCAGACTGCCGGAAATCGAACAGGAGCAGCCTGGTTTGCGGAGGCAGCAGCGAATTGAAATTGTGCGTAAGGAGTTTGAGAAGAGTGAGGAGAATCCGTTCAATCAAGTTAGCGTTGCATACGATGCCACTAAGGAGGAGGTGAAGGCTGTTAAAGAAGCGGAGAGGCGGAATATTGAGGGGCGCTTGACGGCGAGGTAAGGTTGGTGGTATGACAAGCTTGATTCATTTTCTCTGTTGGATAGGCGGGACGCTTTTCTTTTGCGTGTATATTATTGCTTGGCTTTTCTTTTGGAAGATATGTGGTTTGACGATTATGCCTATGGATGAGTCACATAAATAGAATGACACGACAATTTATTTTATTTTATTTTATTTTATTTTATTTATTTATTTATTTATTTTTTTTGAATCATCATTGCTCAGGATAGTACATATATGCCTCGTTCATTTGTTTTGCAGACTGATGAACAGTGACGATGAATATGAAGTCTTCAGCGGTTATGATATGAGAAATGAACAGAAGAACCAATTTGAAAATTTTCTTCGGGATGTTAATATATGTTTTTAGGATTAGGCTGTTGCCGCAGATTAAAAACACAAAGCCACATACAAATCCAACAATCCGCTGTATCTCAAGTGGTAATGAAAGAAGGTGGGGAACAGAAAGGCAGCTTAAGATCAAGCTCCTAAAGTCTAGACATCTAAATCAATGCATTTTCTAAACGTGGCAGAAAGGAGAAAATGCATAAAGCAATAAGCTGCCAGTCCTGGACAGAAAAGAACAAAATTCTCCAACGGCATCCACGGATAAAAGTTCAGTCACAAAACCATATGACTCTTGAATACAAAAAGGAGAGGAAGTGGATGGGTGGTGTATACGAGGCAAAAAACAGAGTAAGCACTGTGGATGATAAGCTGTCGATCAGCAGCTGGATGAATAGATATCCGAATCGCTATTGAGAGAATTGGAAGACATTCATTGACTTGGTTAGCGGCGAACCATTAATGATTAGTTAAGGAGAGGGAAAATGGAAACGAAAAGAAAATCCACATACAACTTCCCAAAACTGTCCCTCCCAGTGGCGTCCTCTCGGACCCAAACGCTCACGCTATACGAAACGACACCAAAAATCCCATACCCGCGGCGATCTATCGTTACTTTCGAGCGACAGCTCCCGTAAACCTCTGTCCATACACTGCCCGCATGTGACTTTCCTACGTTCATGCGCTTCGTATCTGCAGGGCCGTTACTGAGCACGCAAGCGAGGCCATGAGGGTGGGCTGAGTCGCCCATGCGGACAAACCCTGACAAAGACATGTTAACTGTGATGCTACTGGGAACTTGGTGTGGGGTTTTGGTGGCTGTGGAGTTTGATAAGGTTGTGGTAGAAGGTTGGGAGTTTGAATATCAAGAGGAAGAATAAACAAACCAATGCAATTCCTTTTATTGAAATAATCCCGCTGTTGACCATACGCGTACAGCTTCCGAGCAAGCGAGAGATTAGCCAGTTGGCCATTACATGACGGCCTAAGAATGCCTTCGCAGCCGCCGCAAAGGCCATACAAGTCACCGTAGAACAGGCAGGGGTAGCCTTCCCTGCGGAGGAGAATTAGGGAGTAAGCGAGTGGCTTGAAGAATTCCGCTATTGGTACCTGTTTGTATTTGATTTAATTGTTAATGGAGTCGAAGCTCTTGTTCTGCTTTTTCTCTTCCTTGGTTTTTTTTGTTTAATTATTCATGACGGAGGGTGGGTTTACCTCGAGTGATTGGGATGGTTGCTGGATAACTGTTAGTAGTGAAAACGATAGAATATATATACTGCATTAAAAATATGACTTACCGTATCATGGTTCATGACAAACGTCTAGGAATCCAGAGGTTAATATAAATTTAATATAAATTCTGGAAAATGAATGAGCAAGGGGAAGCAAACCACAGCATGTTTCTGCTTATACTTCACCAAACTTCCCTCGAAAACTCTGCGCAAATCAGCGCCTTCAGTGGTTGAAATGTAAGAAAATTGATGGACCAATGGCGCATCAAATAACGACACGAGATAACCCATTCGTCCCAGGTAATTTAAAAGCTCCCAGACTTCTGCTTTCCAATATTCAGCTACAAAAAACCAACCAGCGCCAACAGTTTGTTGAATATGGATGATGAAGTCTCGCAAAAATCCAGCTGAGTAGTGCTTTGCGGCGTCAAATCTTAGGCCAGAAATATGCAGCTGGTCACCAAGCCATTCTATCCATCTCTTAATGTCTTCTCGAACTTCCGGGTTCGAATGGTCTAGATCCGCAAACATTAAATAGTCATAGTTTCCATTTTCGTTGCTGACATCGCGTGCCCAGTCTTTGTTTTTGGGACCTAATATTTTGAAAATCCCATTTCGACCAGTGTGGGCATCATAATCAACACCAGTAAAATGTTCAGAATGGTATTTCATTTTGCTATACTGGTTTCCCCGACCAGGAAACGAAAAGCCCGACCAGGCTTCTATTTCCTGAGGCTCACTGATGACTCTCCTCCGATCTAAATCTCCGCCCCGTTTAACAGCATTAATAATTATTTCGCATCATATAAGCACCACCATTTCATCACCGACTTATGATGCCTATCAATTATGGAATGAAACTCACCTTTCGGGTCAACCATGACTGCAACGCATTTCTCTACATAATCAGCCGCAGCCTTATGATTAAGCACAGCATCCCAATAAACTGCAATTTCCATCTCATGCGCTTTGGTCACAAGAGAAACAAGCTCTTCCTTAGTGCCCCACTTGGTCGCTTTTGTCCCTTTCTGATTGAACTCGCCTAGGTCGTAAAGGTCATAGATATCATAGCCATTTCCGGATGGATGCATGGCTTTACATCCCGGAGGAAGCCAGATGCTAGTCACTCCGATCGCCTTTAGACTTGGTAGGGCTGCCTGCAGCCGTTGCCAATGTTTCTTGTCATTAGGCACAAACCACTCAAAGGCCTGGAACATGAGCTTGTTTTCCTCGCCTGGATTGTCGGTATTGAAATCTGGGGAAACGGTTAGAGATGTCTTTACTGGAGTTTTTAGAGTGCGTGGGATGGAGATTAGCCGTGCCAGGGTAGGCGGTATAAAAGAAAAAGAAATTTGCTAAGAATGAAGAGAAAAAGAAGTAAGGAAGAACGCTAGACCCAGGGCAAGTAATGTGATACACAATCCTATGGAGAAAACCGGTGTTTTGGGGGTGGGGGTGGGAAGACAATGTCATATAACGATTACCAACCTTCAATATCAAGCCATTTCGTCTTCTTCCTACGAAAAATGTATTTATATGCCGACACTATGAAAGACGCCATCCCGCAATAAACCTTTGACCAAACTCAATAGTGCGCACCTCAGCCGCTCTGAACAACTCAGAAACACAGATGGATCTGAAATCACTAACATGCCCGCACAGATCTCATGGCAGGGTTAGATGTTTGATTCAGTTCATGCCTTTTGAGGGCTTCTTCCTTTACTTTTCCTTCCGGTTGCCTTCGAAGATATTACAGTGTGATGATAGTTGTGCTGTGAAGAAGGAAGACAAAGTCAAAACGTGCGGGGAAGCGGATTAAAATGTCAGGGATAATTTCCGCTCAAAAATTGTCAGGGGAATACGGAGTAGAACAGGATGTGCAATTGATAAAGGAAATAGATAAACGCTTGCTCCAAAGCAATTGATATAGCAGAAGGGGTGAGGGATACGGATGACCTCCGTCTGAGAGAAGATCGAACGAATGTTGCAAGGTCGGGGTTGAGCCGCGTTGATATAGTTAACTAAAAATAGACTTTAACGCCGTTGGGCCAATTAAGCACCAGCGCTAAACCAAAACAGGTACCTTGTTGGTGCCTGAAATGGTCTGGGCGTTCAAATGGAAAATTGTAATTATTATATACCGCGGAGCTCTCCCGGGTATTGTTGCTTTGGCCACCGGAAAAGGATTTGCTCAAAAAAAGAAATGTTGTACATGTATATCGTCAGGTATGGATAAAAGGTAAACTCTATGAACAAAATCTATAGTGTGTAAGGAAAGCAACAGGGTTCTTTTGAAATCCGGAATCTATCCCCCCCCGCCCCCCCTTACCCATGCAGTAGAATATTATGTCCAGCCTCTAAAACAAATTACCGAGAGCTGTAAAGAAAAAAGAAACGGAAAAATTACAGATAATACATGCCAAAATCCAGATTCAACAAAAGAGATTTAACGAAACAAGGGGGACGAGAATATATACGGACATGACTTTTGGAACATAAGAAACCGTCTATCTGTGTGGTATATCTTTGCCCTTATGACGACAACTCCGACACACAAATATTCACTCCGGATAAGGGCCCGCTGGGAAAAGAGGAATGATCGACAAAGGGACCGAGACCGGGTATTCTCTAGCGTAACTCATCGAGAATGAGGGAGAATAGAAGGGGGTATCAAACATGAACTTATTTCAATTCAACACCTTGCGTGGCGTTGAGCACTCGTTTTATATCACCTGGAGAGAAAATCACCATAAGCAATCTACACCATGCAAGAGTTGTGGACAAGTCAAAGTCTTTTCATACCGTAGATGCCGAATTGGCCGGCTGTGATGGCACCAACCAAGACGAGACGAGCACCAATACCAGAAAAGCTACCCTTAAGTCCGAGTTCCTTGGCAATCTTGATCAAACGAGACACAGTTCCTTCACCTGGGAGTCCCTCGGTCTTGTTGATCTTGCTAAGCATTGTGTCGGCAGGCTGGGAGACAACGGCAGCAGCGAGACCAGCAATAAGACCAGAGCCCAAGTTGATGGAGGTCTTAGCACTATCAGAAAGCTTTTCCTTGTCGAATTGGCCGTAGATAGCTTCGGAGACTCTCTCGAAAACGACGAACTTGGCCATGGTGTAAGGGACCCTTATACACACGAATTAGCATAGTTAAACCAATGGGCATGTTATGTGACATGAATTAGACTAAACCTACTGTTTCAAGAGGATGGGACCGAAACCAGAGTAGAAAGCACCAATTCCCTCATTCTTGAAGATCTTTCCGAAACCACCAATAAGACCATTGGCAAAGCCAGGTTGCGACACAAGACGGATACGAGTCGCCTCAAGAGGACAGAGGGCGATATCAGCGACGAATTCAGCAAGGGCAGATGAGGCGAGGTAGACAGCAGTCCGGTTCCTGGCGGCAGTCTCATAGCCAAGGTAGTCGATGGACTGTTTCTTGAAGAACTCGTAACCACCGAACTTGAAGGCTCCCTGCAAGAAGTAGCCAGCAGCGGTGGGACCGAAACCGGTCATCAGGGCAGCGGCACCCTCATTCTGAACAACCTGTTTGAATCCCCCAATCATACCTCTATTGTAGGTCTTGGGGTCAAGCTGGATTTTGGTCTTGACGCTAAAGGGATTCCATTATTAGCCTCGAGTGTTAATTTGAGGGCAAAATAAAGATACGCAAGATGCGCGCAATCAACATGGTTCGGATAGCGCACAACACAAGCGCCAAAGAGGGCTATTTAAGTGAGAAACTTACACATCGACGGGTGTGAGGAGGCCATGGGTGACTGAACAGCAGACAGCGCCAGCAAAGGCGAATCGCGAGTACAGATTAAGGCCGCTCAACTGGGGTCCTTGAGGGAGGACTGGAGCGGACTTCTTGAGGCCATCTAGTTGGGGGGCAGGAGCAGTGGCAGCCATTGTGAAAAGAAAAACGAAGGACAGAACGCGAAACGGGAGGAGATGAGTGGCGTGGGGGCTTAATAAAAGGAAAAAGTGCACTCTAACGGAGGGAATTGGAATTTGAAGTTGATTGTTCGCAGCAGAAGACAACCGTGAAAGACTTTTTAAAAGCAAAGCTGGCCGAAAACTTTTCGCGGCAATGACGGAGCCGAAATTCCGAAACTTTCCCGTGGCTGCGCTAGTCCCGATACGACATAGCGGCTTCATGGATTAGTCAGCTCAGGTTTCTCGGCGATGATTGGCAGGTTCAAGTGCCTGCGCTTGTGCTGGAACTGGGCTTGGAAAAGGGGCAACATAAACCCGGAGGATGGAGATATCTTTGATACCAACCATACCCCAGGGTCTCTGTTATTGACGACAATCTTTGATATAATGGGCCGCTACTGATAGTTAAATCCATATGGTGAATATCTCTAACACCTGGTACACCTAAGCTAATTCTGGCTGGGAATCACGGTTTGCGGCGATCTCTCAGTTACCATAAGGTCATCGAACGGTGCAATTGTACCGCATCTTTAGACCAACCTGATATGGACGTCTTCACATATGCAAGAAGGAACACCATTGTTTTATGCTGAACAGTTATTCAACATTCCATTCTATATAATATATATATATATATATATATGTATGTATGTATGTATGTATTCAGCTAAATATTAATGAAAGACATATCGATACTCATAACCCAAAATACAACAACTTCATTATTCAAAATTCCATCTCACATATTACCTTTCTATGCCTGATATGATAATAAAAGTCATAAATTTTATCAACTCAGGGAGGAAAACCCCCAAAAATCAAACAACTTCTTCACTCCTTAGATAGGAGTAATTCTAGGCCCAGTCACCCCAATATCCCAGCGGATAGCAACCTCATCATTGACGCCAACATACTCAAGCGCGAACAGCTTGCCAGCAGGGCAGTCGAACTCAGGATACCCATGGAACGACTGAATCCAGACCGCGCTTCCCGGTACATTAACCGAAATACGGCCCTGGTGGATATCGCGGCTCCGCTGAGTCTCCGCAAGGGCAGCCGGCCTCCATCTGGAGACAGTTTCCGCAGAGAAATCTTGCGTTGGCGGATTGATGACCGTGAAAACGTCCGCCTGCTTGGAGCCCGTGGAGACATCTCGCGGCCACAGATCGAATAGGAGTTTGCAGCGGCGGCCTTCGAGGTCCGATGAGACTTCGAAAGTGACAATTGTGGTGGTCTCGTCGGCGGCTACCCCGTTTTTCACGACGAGGAGCTGGTCCTGCGGGTCCTCCTTGAGGGCGCCGGTTTGGACCCAGTAGCGGAATGTGCGGTGGGGGTAAATGAGGTCGTTTTGGCGAGCGGAGATGCCTTCAGCTGGGGAGGAGCTTGGTGCCGCGAGCACGGCGGCCGCAGCGGAGACCAGAAGGGTGTTGAGTTTCATTGTTGTTGTTTGTGGGGTGGTCGGGAAAGTCCCTCAGAAAATATCAAGTAGAGGATACAAGTATTATTGTAGGATGACTTGTGTCAGCTCAAGACGATATTGGCAGGATAAAAATAATACACTTTTTTTGAGAGGACATACGATATTTTCTTGTTTCTGAAAGGTGAGAATAAGAAGGAGATCAACAGCGGCTCTGGATCCCCCTTTTATATTTCTCCCCAGCTCCCAAGATAACGCAAAAATAGACATTTCTCTAGAGTGGATAGAAATGAACATCAGACTCCACAAGTTGCCTCTGACGTCTATCCAATGTTATCAACACCATACCCAAACAGCAGAAAGATTTTCAGTTAGGTCTCAGAATTTAGATTCAACCCGAAGCCCTGCCTGTTTGATCAACAAGAGCAGCTTAACCTCTGGCCTATGACGATTCATGATATTGAGCTAGCGGGGATGGCGATTGTTAATAGAAGCCATTTGTGGCGTCTCAGGAAGTTCTGTTGCTGTAAAACTAAAACAGCTAAGAAAAGCTAAGCGGATGTTGATAGTCATGTTACTCGACCGGGTCATGTAGATGGTTCTCTCAGCTTCGTCATTTTGTTACTTCTCGTCAACCAAGATTCGGAGGCGGGAAATGCAGCTAGTCATCGATGTCTCATAATTGGGAGCCTGAAGAAGTCACAACACAATGAGCTAGCATGTCTGAGAGAGGGATAAGCATCCACGAGTATTCATCTTTCTTGTTCTGGTAGTTCTTGGCAATTGAGCTAGAAGGATTTTTACGGGGAAAAGTTTTAGCAGGCTGAAGCATTTGTGTGCCAGTGTGAATGTTTGTGATGTCAAAGGGGGGCTCTATTTTTAGCAGCTGGTATGACATGGAGATCAGGAGTCCTCCCGGGAATGTATGTAGATGGGCATTATTGAGTGCTCAACCAGCTCTGTAAAATGCAACCCTAGCAGAACCGTAGTTAGCCCTTGTTTTCAGCATCTGCTTCATCAGAAATTCCAACATCAAATCGGAGCTTCCCCAGTGTTATTTTTGAGAGATCTTGCAGCTGAGGCTCAATGATACCCATCCAGATCGATTGAGCATCCTTCCCAGTTGTAACCAGTAGCAGTTAAGTCAGCAGGAACCAACAAAGGGATGCTCCAAGACGTCAAACTCCCTTATCCATGTTGATTTCAAATCTCTCAGTTGCTCACGATACGCCCACATCCACTAGCTGCGTAAGGGCGTTAGTGGGGGTGGAGTTCAAGCAGGGTTGTCTCAAGCTGGTCAGAAGAATATTCTTTGATCCTCGTATAAACAACAACACTGACGATCGTTTTTTTTCAGTTGGGATGGAGAGGAGAACATACGAGGATATGGACCATGGATGCGCTGCAATAAAGCTGCACGCTGCGCCATCCCCATGCACCCTAGTGCCTACGCCTTTTCGGCTAAGGCGTTTTTGAGTGCTGCATGGATGCCACGAATGTAGCCACTCCACTGGTGGCGATTTGACCAAAGTATCATTACATCCGGGTACGGAGCACTTGCCAATAATAAATGTGGTAGTGTATAATTATTTGAGTGGGCAGTCGGGCGAAGTTTGCGCTCTGATGGGCGGTTGTTGGGGCTAATTAACTGTGCGGCTCAAAGTGGCAACAATTTTTAAGGGCGACCTTGGACAACCTCCATATCAATCAAATGGCAATGCTCCGTAGTGATATCCAGATGTTGTCATGGATATTACTTTATTTTTTGAAAGAATATCAATAATAAGAATGAAATTCCTATTGGCCATGAATCGAATTAAGGTTTAAAATCGTAGATATCCGTTTCGAATGGCCTTGCGGTTAGGGAATTATATCACTCAGCGGCAGGGGGATCGCACGCTTTAACAACACCGGAAGACAAGGGAAAGCAATTATTCACCCCATTTTTTTTTTTTTTTTCATGAAGTCAAAACTTATTGTTTCAATATTTCCTATCTACTAATCTAGATATCCTGAATATATCCATGAAAACATCCATCATTCATCCATCCATCCATCCATCAATGTCACAAACTATTTCATCAATTCATAATCCTGCTTAGGAAAAAGTAGAGCATCACGCAAAAGAGATATTATCAGCTTGCAAATATAAACGAAATGATAATCCAAGAAAATCAAAAATTGAAATGCTAAACATGCTAAGGAGGCTATTCTTGATACGCATATATTATCCCCCCCGGCGCGAAGATGAGCGGGGCAAAGAAATGGAAGCGGATGTTGATCAGAACTCAATGACTGAATTAAGAAGGTATGCTACGGGAGATGAGTAGTATAGTGCCCTGTGGGATTGTGAGGTTCAAAACCACTGCCCGCTTCGGTTGCTGGGGGTGGCGGGGGAGAATCATGTGCTGACCGTGATGCTTCAAACGAACAAGAAAGTAGGTGGGGGAATAAGCGAATAACAGGGTTATGGTCTAAGTATGTAATATCGGGAATTGGAAATGACCTTCCCGTATTATCCATGAAAGGATTATGTTTATTCATCAACAGTAATCTGAGAAAATACAAACGGTGGGGCTTGTTGCTGTGTTTGTGATTCCAACGTAAGGTCCGGAGCATTCGCGTATTCCTCTCCTTCCTCCGTCATGTGTGGCAATAATTTTCCAATGTTTTGTGGGTCGGTATTCAACTACGGCTGGTGCTAATGACGGCGAAAGTCGATGATCTGACGCTAAAGGCAATTGGACATATTATAAGGTTTCAGTGTTGAGTGCAGGATCGTCGTCCTTGACTACTGCGCTTAACTTCGACATGGGAGGCGGTGTATCGTGATGTGCTGCTGCTTCCGCAGGTTCATGAAGTTGAGGCTCTGTTGCGCAATAGGTTGACTCGGCCACGTCGGTGGATTTCGCTAGGGATGGTTGTGGCTGAGGTTGTGTTGATGCTTTAGTAGAGAGATCTTGGCAATGGTGAATGGAGTCGCTCTCAGCCGGGTGCGACGCGCTTAGCTGTCGTGTCATTGTTTGACCGACGGACCGGGGTTCGGTAGCAAGCATCCCACATCCAAACACTGTGGGGGTAATTTTATTTTCAGCTCCGGAGTGTGCTTGGGTGCGAGGTTCCATGGAAACCATGACAGGAGAGTTAACAATTGAAGGCGGGTTATACTCCAGAACCATTGGGGAGGAATCAGTGGGAGGAACGACATGTGGCGGGCTAGTTATGGGGTGAGAGGCGAAAACCTCTCCTTGTTTTGCCATGCCCATAGAGAAGTAGAGGACGAGAATGCTCAAGAAAGCAATTGTAACGTTCCGTCTGTCGCTGGCAAGGATACGAATATAATTTGAACATAGCTTCTGGAGGCTAACTTCCTTGGAGTTGATAGACTCTCGCTCACACTCATAGAAGTCAGTAGAGGGCATTATCGGTGATGACTCTGGGCGTGTAAATAAAAGCGGAGGCGATGACTGGTCAAATTTGGACTGGAAACGGGGAACTGAATCGCCATCCTCCAGTCCATCAATAGCTTCCTGTGTCGGAGCCGTTGGCATTCCATATATCTCCCGCCTTCGTTCCTCCTCCTTCACCAAGCGCTGCTCTTCTTCCATTCTTAACGTATTTTCCTCGACAATCCTCCGCTCCAGTTCCCGCCTGATCTCAACTGGCAGAGCTAATCCAACCTCGACATCGACTTTTTCCATATCCCTCCAGGCTGCTGCCCAGGCCCCAGCTCCCATCAGACCGTTGGCAGCATAAACTCTGACATCCCATCGCCTCTTCTCCCCTTCCAAATGCTTGATGAGCCTTGCGCCGCAGTCAGCGCATTTCTCTCCATCACATCCGTCACTGACATTTCCAATACCTTCTTTCTCAGTGCCCCCTCCACCTCCATCGTCGGGGTCATCATCGTTTTCTCGACCAAGGAAATGACCTTCACTCAATCTCGGCCGGACTAGTTCTAGACTCTCCAACAAACGCTCTTCAAGTATGTCATACATTTCCTGTGGATGTGATATCAGCAATCCACGATCCCGCAACACCCCCGAATTAATGATTTTATCCTCGAGTAATTTCCATCTTGCCCAGTGCCTAGGGGGCAACACCTCTTTTAAAATCTGCGCGCTGGGCAGTCCCAAACCCTGAGGTAGTGAAAGAGATGGTGGTAGCAGAGTGCAATGAAGTAGGATAAGCGGGTACTCCTTCTGGACAGCTGTCTCTTTTGCCCGGGATGATTTGTAGCTCCGCTTGGCAGATCCTGGTGATGAGCCCAGCGAGCGTATGGACATCCCTGATACACTCTGACATGAATGCCCACGCCCTCCACTGTGATTCCTCCATGACCTCGACGGCATCAGATCCTCGTTGTTGTAGCCATAGCCATACCCATCATACTCATCCTCGTCTCCCATCTGCATTGCGCGAACAGAACTCGGGTGTCTAAACGGCGAATCATGATCGCGCACACTAGGCGCAATTTTCGAAAGTCGGAAAGAGTAATTGTTCCTTTTCGGCCTGTTTTTGTTCACGGGCGTCGGGCCGTCATTGGTATTGCTTTCGGAGTAATGCTGCATGTAATGCCCTCGGAAACTCCGCGTTATGGTGCCACTGCCATCGTACTTCTCAGGTGGGCATACAATGACGGAGCCTGGTAATGAAGATATGGAAGTGCGGTTTGACATCGTTCTTGTAGTTCGTCCTATTTCACTCCTCCGATCGAAAAGATCATTTTCTTCACCCGTAAATGTTTCGGAGGGATGGGACGAGGAAGAGGAGGAAAGAAGTCGCTCATGGGCATCAGCTTCCTCAGTTTTCTTCTGGGAAGATGTATCTTGTTCAACTGTCCCATCTGTAGCCTCCTCGCATGGATGAGATTCGTCTTGGCCAATTTTTTCCATTGTGGGAGATGGCGATTGATCGATTTCATTATTGCCACAGCTGTTTGCTTCTAAGACATCCGTTGCTGCCATGTCTGAACCTAAACATGCCATATCTAACTGCCTTTGCCTTCGTATTTCTTTGTTCAACGCGGTCTTGGTGTCCTTAACTTGAAAGAAAACCACAGTCGGTGCTTTATTGCGGGCCCCCGAAATACGTTAGGGTGTTTCGGCGCGGAGATCGTTGAGGAATGTATAAGAGATCTAGTCAATGCTTTGAAGGTTCACAAAATCGATCGTACATAGAGGTAAATGCATGTAACCAGGTATTCTGTACAAAAAACAAGGATGGCATAGTAGGTTTCCTATCTCACTCCAGGATAAAATGTAGCAGTTCCCCAATGTAAAAAGATAACAATTTAAACAATGGAATCAATAAATGAGAAGCTCATCTGAATCTCTTCTTTAAATAAAATCGTTAGACTGATATCAAGTCGAGACAAAAAAAAAGTATAAAAACACCTAGAATTTGGACGGATGCTGGGAAGGTTTTTTATGTTTGGAAGTGGCTGGGGTATACGCGTTGTGGGGGCAACTGTTAAAGAAAATAACATGGCAGGCTCCCGCCCCGAAAGATCGGGCCCACAACTGGTTTTAGCAGCCAATACGGACACGGAGTTGGTTTGACCCTGCCGAGGTGTCCAATCAACTATTAGCATATTCTCAGGTTTAAAAGTCACAGAGAAGAGATCCCGTGAAATGCTCTGTATGATGGAGGGAAGATTCCCAAATCACCACTTCGCACTAGGTCCACCGGTTCGCGCTCTTTAGCCTGGTTGACGGAGGTCGTGATTTTACAGTCGTGGTCGGGGTTCATGGTCGTGTCAGGCGCGTATTCTAATTGCACCTTCATTGCATGTACGTCCATGGCCAGATACAATGAATGCATTTCAGTGTCAAGCATGTTCGCCCATATTTGAACTTCATGCCTTCCAGTTTTTGAATCACCAAATCCTGTGCCATCCGGAGACATATACCCAGGCGCATCCATAGCCCACTGTCATGGTTTGATTCAAACCCCTCGGATTCAAGCAAGCAGTTAAAAAGCATGCTTGTACTACAGCGGGGGTCGGGAAGGAGAGAGCATCGACTACGGAGCAAATTGCACGATGCGCAAATGGCTGCCCTTGGTGGACATGTTGTCGGTCATTTATTGGTTGATATTCCAGGCTCGATGTTCTGGGACTGCGATGTCAGGAGCGGGTGAAGCAAGAACTTTGCCACAATTCCACATACGACGTCTGCTAAGATAGGTTCCAGTCGCGTTCTTGATGCTGCAATATCCGACTTTGCCTGCTGGCGGGCATTTGAGGTAGCGTCGTGCGAATCGGGCGGGCAGTTGTACCCCAAGCAATCGTGCCCATGGTCGGAGCAGGTTTTGTAGACTACCGCCAAGTTAGCCAGAGGCCACTTTGACAGGCGGCGGTTTCAGGGCCAGAATTGCGGAAGCATATTTACATTCACATGGTTGTTCACCAGAGCACCCGATCTTCCGTTTTCGACATGTTAGAAATCTGGAGGGAGAGGGCGCATATCAGTTTCTGTCAACTCATGGGCTGAGGGGTAACAATTTGGTGAAAAGTCTGTCGCATGGGAGGTGGAAACAGGGCACAATGGACGCATCGGCTACTCTGCGCCCCTTCGACTGAGACTGCCCATAGTTAGACACGAAACGGATTTGTCGCAGTTGAGCAGCCTGTTTTTCTTCAGAGGATAGGATCATTGCAAACTAACTTAACAAACGAGAGCATCTGGCGGACCATACGGCATCCGGCCTTCGCTTGTGAGAACAGATATCGAGGAGGCCAATCGCAGCTAAGGGAGAGCAAATGTCTGAAGAAACACATTCCAGATCAGTATGCACGACGAGACGGATGCTCGTACACACTGGCTGGTGAATTTTCGGCATTGGAAGGTAGGACGGGGTTGGCATTGAAGGTGCCGAGTAGCTGATGACGATTGCAGGTTTATTTCAGCAGAGGGCTGTTGTTCATATCCCAATGACTTATTTCTGGTCACATCAGGATGTGGTATGGAAGGAAATTTTATTGATGCATCCAAAATATATATATAATAATTGCATGCAAGGACTCGTCGAAAACCAAAATCTACATGCTGTGCCAGGTTAAAAATTCCCTGGCTCTATGATTAAGAACCCCCCAACACCTACCAGAAACATCCAGAAAGCCAGTGGCTAAAGGTTATTGAAAACCGGTCTCGGGATCTCCATCGCATCTGTCGCCCTCAAGTATGAGATGCCTCCAAGACGAGAAATCGGTCGAAGAACGCCTGGATACAGGAGACTCTTCTCTTCATTTACCGCATCCTCTCGCGCCCAAAATCTCGTCCCCTCCAAGATTACCATAACGCCACTCTTCTTCCCTGGGTTTGCCCGACTTTCCCACTCTTTCGACTCCACAAGCTTTGCCTCGATCGAAAATATCGATTCTTTTACTCGTGGAGCCTTGACAGTCGCACAAGGAGCGGGATGCAGCCCTGACAATTCGAATTCCGATACACCATAGGGAGCATTAATTGATGAATAGTTGACGGCTTCAAGGTAATGTTCACCAACAGTGTTGACAACACACTCGCCCGTCTCGAGGATGTTGCGAAGAGAATCCTTTGGAGAATTTGGATCACCTGTAATTCCAACGACAATAATGGGAGGGTCAAAATTGACCACCTGGGTAAAGCTGAAGGGCGCAAGGTTTAGAGTCTGGCTATCTTTCGATCTCGTGCTCAGGAGGCCAATTGGTCGCGGCACGACTGCAGATATCAGAAGCTTGTAGTTGAGGTTTGGCGACCTGCCCATTTCGTAGGGGTCAATCTCAACATGGTTTTTCTTTAGGCTGGCTTGCTTATCATTGGCCCCTTGCCCTGGCTTCCAGCTTGGATTGGGGGATTTGGTAAATGTTATGGGGGTGGAATGGTCAAAATCTGGTCGCGATGCTTCGACTTCGGCAAATGGAGGGTGGGCCGGAGCCATTTTTCCCGAGATAGCAGAGAGTAACTATGGTTAAAACAAGACAGGAAGAGCAGGTTGAGAGAAGCATAAATTTTGTGCAGTCAGCAAAGCCAAAGAGCAAAGAAACAGCTTCAGACTCAAAATAATATTGTAACTTCAATATGAATAGATTGTGCTTCTGTTTGGGGGGTTGTCGCAGATACCACGAACCGTGCTTGATAAGCGGGGGTTGTGGAGAACAGTTTAGTTAATTCTTCGTCGGATAAAGGCGCGGCTAAGAACATCCATTTCTTCTTGAGTTGAAGGCTGCAGCGAAATTAAACCGTTCCAACTGAGAGTCTGTCTGGACTGAACAGATTAAATATGTCGGACTTCGCGTCCGGATAAACTTCTAAGTCTTCGAAAGCTTCCGAGGGTCTTTACCGAAGTTTAGACGGCAACTGCTGTGCTGACTCAAAAATCCAAGTCGTCCTCATATCTACATGAGAACCCATCCATTTAATTTTCAGTTTATACTCAGCAATTCACCCACTCCAGTAGCCAAACCAGCGAGGATAATGTTGTTGGGAAAGTTCAATTCTTTATTGCAGTGCTCTACGGAGTATCTCAGATCCTCCTATTTCCTATACTCTCACATTTGCTCCCCGATCTTGTCCTATCCCTCTTTAATACCGCTGCTGACGATGAAACTAAATATTTTCTGCTAATGATTGATATTAAAATAGGTGCTATACAGAGATGGAGATGAAAATGTAATCTTCCGGTCGATCCCTGTTGAAATAGTTGAACAGAAGCATGAATTGGATGGCTTTAAAACAAGGAGCAAACCTGAACCACTTTTTAAAGTCTTCCCTGGACCAACTCTCACGCATTTGACTCCCTTTCACCTGGAGCAAAGGATTCAACCAATCCGGGGTATACCATATGTTTTGGACATCGCAACCGCGCTGGCTAATCTAAGGCGTAGTGTTACCGAGACAAGCAATTCTTAATAGCCTTATTTTTATTAAAGAAGTTTTCTGGAAGGCGTCCACTGTCAGTGTAAGTAAATCTTTACCAGAACTGGAACAAGAGTCGGCATTCTGAATACGTACGGTGCGCCAATTCTCGTTCGAATAGGTCAATCAGCCAGCCAGTTGGTATCTACCCATGTAATGCGGCCTGGCAAACTCTAGTTAAATCATATATGGTACGGCTGATGTATAACTGTATACATTCATTGGACAATACAGTCAGACAATCTCCTAGAAATATAGATGCACGGTACCGAATTGTATGTACAAGAACTGTCCTAGAATATCACCCCTAAGTAAGTTGGTATTTCCAGCCGTAATAATATTGTCCACTGAAGCGGTCAAATTCTTTCAAACAATTTGGGCGCGGCGCTTAATCGATGCTGACTCATCAATAACCGCACCAGAAACAACTGCTACTACGTTTTAGCGCCACGCGTCAAACCCGAGGAATGATTGAAGATCGCCAAGCTTCCACCACTTGCATCATCCAACCTCCAGCCATACAACCTCCACCAGACGTCCTTTTCTTTCTCTGTTGCATTTTCCTAATTTATTAGATATTGGGGTTCTGGTGTTAGGGCTCCGGTTTCTTTGTTTAGTTGTAATCTCCACTTCCGTTTTTTATCTTCCCCTTCTACCTACTTTCTCTCTTCCCTCCTTCTCTTCCCCTGCTTACACTGTTCTTGCCAACGCTCAACCGAACTCCGTATCGGTAGGGTAGACACAACAAATCCCAGAGAATCATCACGTAAGGACCACTCGCTGTCGTCACTATGGCTGCTGCTTCGGTCAGGCAGTGGGGTGTGACTCCCCCGATATCAACTGCGCTGCCCACCACGTCAGAGATCGCCGCAAACGACGACCTAACAACAGAGTTGAAGCAACAAAACAATTTCGAATCCCCATCAGAGACTGAGAGGAGGTATTTTGCTATCACCATGTTCGTTTTGTAAAGGACCTAAATTAACTCTATATTGTTTAGAAAACAGACATTGCACTTAATCCAACGGGTGACTGTCGAGTTCGTTAAGGTAGTCAGTCGGCGCAAGGGTTTGTCCCAGGCGGCTATCGATATAGCGGGCGGGAAGATATTTACATACGGTAGTTATCGGCTAGGCGTATACGGCCCAGGTCCGTTATTTCCTTATATACGGGGGCTCGTGGTGGGATTATTTTGAGAGAACAAAACTAAACCTGTTGTTGATGCGGATAGGATCTGATATCGATACGTTGGTGGTTGGACCGAAACATGTCTCATTCGAAGATTTCTTCTCCGATTTTCCTCCTCTTTTAGAGCAGATGGCCCCCAAAGGCGCCATTGAAAAATTAACTCCTGTTCCAGATGCCTTCGTTCCGATTATCAAGATCGAATTGTCCGGCATCAGTATCGACCTTATCTATGCACGCCTACTAGTACATTCTGTGCCGTTAAATCTGGACCTGAAGAACAAAGATTTGCTACGTGGGCTGGATGAGAAAGAGATACGATGCGTAAACGGAACACGAGTGACTGATGAGATTTTAGAACTCGTTCCCCAACAGAAGACATTTCGACTCGCATTACGCGCCATAAAGCTCTGGGCACAACGTAAGCAAGTTTGCCCTATTCTTCAGCAGGTGACATGCTGATATCATGGCTTTCCTTTAGGGCGAGCGATCTATTCGAACATCGTAGGATTCCCTGGAGGAGTTGCATGGGCAATGCTAGTCGCCAGAGTCTGTCAACTTTATCCCCAAGCTACCGGATCAGTGATCGTGGGGAAATTTTTCCGCATAATGAATCAGTGGAACTGGCCCCAGCCAGTGTTATTAAAGCCAATAGAAGAAGGCCCTCTCCAAATGAAAGTCTGGAACCCAAAAGTAAGTCAAACTACAAAACGCCCCCCCTACAAACAAAAATCCTGACATTACCCGCTAGATATACCACGGCGATAGATATCATCTCATGCCCATCATCACACCCGCATATCCATCCATGTGTGCAACGCACAACGTCTCATTGTCCAC